ATATATGAGACATAGTTAGTAAAGAACAGAAAAATCCAAATTATTATCGATTCCAACTTAATTTAATTACTACATTCTTAAGAATTAATAACTCTATAACCAATTTTTTATGGTGCGTTGATGATAAATGTACATAAAAATTTACGAAATTGTATTATTTAGCAAATCCATCAGATTACTAATCATCATGAATTTGACGATTAATTATAATGATACATTTACATAGATTTCCACTGAATTTTGCTTTCCTTACTTTAGGAACTAAGAGCTCTTAGATCTATTAGAATCTAGGATATCTTAACTTGCTCTTAATTATCGTACTTTTTTGTAGCTACTTACGTATGGATAATACATTCTACTGAAATATTTAGTGTTCAAAGATTTCAATTTCATTTTAATTTTATGTATTAACGATAGTTATAAGGCTATAATATGCCAATCTTAAATGTATATTTTATATCGTAGCCGTCATATATTGATATAAATGGATTTTAAATTCAATGTTTGAAACAATAAATGATCTTACAGGGCTTTTACGGTAGATAATCCAAATATAAAATTTATGTTTTCTAGAGAATTTTCTTGCAATATTCTGTAAAAATGTCAAAACGAAATCATTTACAGCTGCTTTGGGTATTTATTTTTATTAGAAATTATGTAATACGAAAGTAAGCGTAAGGAGAAAGCACGTTATTTTAAGATTCTGGAGTAATTAAATAATATAAATTATAAATTGAATAATGCAAGATGTTACTGATTGTCATTGTAGTGTTAATATTTGATAAATAAGATGCAATAATCTACTGGTTACGTTGAAATAATGCGATTAAATGCTTATGATGAACTGTCTAAAGCTTACAAGGTCGTTAACGAATAATTGGCCAAGGTGAAGACATTATCGTTAATTGATCTCATCCTATTTGATGACAAGTTTCTGTAAGGATAAATTATTGAAACTTATCATGTAAGTAATCTGTAGTATTTTCCAGAATAATTTTTATTATGTAGTACTTTAATGCTGAAAGATTAACGACAGCAGTAACTTACAGCACTTTTAGATTAGGTAAAGATTGAAATTGTTTTGCAAATTGGCTTGTCATGCTATTAATTCGATTTTTGCTTAAATCTCTAAACGTATTATGTTGAATAGAATTATATAATACAATTGGTAATTCCATATAACATCAACCTTAAAGGTAGTTGACTTTGCCTCACTCACAGTTCACTTAACGATGTTATATTTGCTAAAGGTATCCGGGAAAATTTGCTTATAACATTATCTGAAAGATTTCTAAAATTTTTTTCGATTATTGAAAAGCTGTAACATTAATTACAATCTATAACAGATTCTAAATGAATACGCATACTTACAAAGATTTTATATTTCTCACTTCAAATGAGTTAATGTTTTCTATAGAGTTGCTTGATAAATCACTATTAAAAAAGAATTATTAAAAAAATAAGTTAAGAAGAATTATTAAGATAATTATTTTGCAGCACACAACATAAGATACTGTAAGATGATGTGATTGATTAACTGAAGAGTACAAGCATGTGAGGTAAATAGGAACATTTTGCACTTTACATTACATTTTAGTGAAATTAGATTGTGAAATGGAAACGTTCCAGTTGACATTCACGGTACCGGTCTTAGATAAACCCCTAAATAGATGTTAAGGGAAAGATCGTCAAGGAAATGAATTACAGAATGTTGAGAACCAACATTATCGTAGATTAGGTAGAAAACTAAAGAATAGATAGTTTTATTAACAAGCCGCTAATTGTTCAGTAAGAAATTTGTACGGCATATTTTATATTTAAGAGAAGTGCTATCATTTAAAAGCACTTGTTAAGGCATTTACACTATCATGTATGGTATGTTTTCATTTATTAATGCAGATTTTATCCATATTGCAATAAATCATGCTGTGATACTTGATCAAGAAATAATGATATTGAAAATTTAGACAATTCAAATGACTAAGCTAACTAAAAAGAAGAAAGTTATTACTAGCCAGTTATCATGATATTAATAAACGGGCCAAAGACTTTAGAAGATCAGATTATCGTCTAGTATTGAGATAGAAACAGAGATTTACTTATTTTATATTAATTGTAAACCGCACTGTCACGGTACGCCGTTACTAATTAAGTAACTGTAAATTAATGAATGCTTATGAATAGATAAGATAAGGTTATGTGCTATGTTTTAATGCGCTTGTAGCTGATAATAGGATGGTAGAAATGAGATAAAAATAGAAGTTGTTAGCAGTTAATTTACTGTAGGTTTATAAGGTGTGTTAATCTCTAAAAATTGAGCTGTATATGGACGAAGGTTAAGCGTCTTAACACCTGATAGCTTGTAGCTATCTAAGTCTGAGAATATCGACATGTATATTTAGTAATGGTATTATACTAATTAATGTAACTTGTAAAGCATGAATTCTCACTCGTTAATATTGGAATTCACTGTAGAAACCTATTTAAGCGCGTGTGTTTGTAGAATAAAGAAAGTAATTGCTCAAGAAACGGCAAGACTCATATCGTGAAGAATAGTGTAATAATTAGTCAGTTGTCTGTGGAGATCAGCCGAGAAATCGAGTTCTCAAATACTTCTCTCATAGAAACTGAAAGTACTGGGAGAAATAGCCCAAGTTTTAAGTAACTACACTAGAGTTCTTTACTTTCCTTTGCCACAAGTGAGGGTTGTGACACGCACATGATGGAAATATAGTTTATTTCGGTTACTTGAACAATGATCACAATATTTCTATACAGTATCATAGTTACTATTTCAAATTAAAATTATCCTGGCTATAAATATTAGTATTTTAAGATACTTGCAAGTCTAAGTCTTTGGAATCACCCGACAAGAGGGACTTTAATTTTGGCAAGCTCTTCAATGGATTTCCATCAAATTTCCTAGTTAAAGTAATTAAATGAAGTTATCAACCTAGTCGCATTAATATTGGTACGTCAAATAAGTCTATTAATGTGATAAAAGTAATTATAAAATATTAATGCAAGGTCAAATTTTGTATTACTTACGCTGACATTAGAGAAGATACATTGGATAATAAACCATCAGATAGCTTTGAAATTTGATTCGATCGGACATTACTAGACGATGAGTTGCGAAAGAACGATTTTGGAGCGTTAAAATATTGGTAACCATAAATTATGAGGAATAAAATATTTGATTTTCTTAAAAAATGATTATTTTAATGATGGAAAGCTACAGTACTAACAGATGTTTCAATTTAGAGAGTCCCTGGAAATGTTTTCGCGTCAGGTTAGTTAGGAGATTCTCATCTAAATTACTATAGTCAATGGCTCAATTTAGAATTAAATGGTGAATTGGAGATACAATGAATCTGTTTTATAATTTATTGTCAACCACATAAACTCAACACCAGTATGCTTAATTTCGGCAAAAACAGATTATAGACCAATTAAATTGATATTATTGAAATAATATGTTTGTAAAGTGTCTTGTCCGGAATCTCAGCTCTGTAATAAGGTTCAATTCTAATTTGATAACTTATGTTTCTCTAAACTGAATAAACAAATAAACTATAGAATGATGAGGAAATTAACTTGGAAAAACATCGCATATTATATTATTAATGGTTTATCAAATGGATTTTGGTGTTACTTATTTCAGATTCTTGTAAATTACTAATAATCCACACTATGTTAGAATTCATAAAACAGATAATATACTTAATACAAGTATATACGTAAAATGTACTTGTATTGTGTAATATGTAAGATATGATTAACTCCATCCTGTAATCTACGTTATTTTGGAACTGGATGATTCCATAACTTACAGATTAGTTACGGCTTTTACTGATAAAAAGGCTTCTTCCGAAATATGTGAAATTTTACAACCATATAAGCTCCTAAATACGAAGAAATAGGTAATAAAACGACTTATATTAAAGAATTATTTTATTTCGATCACTAAATTACGAGACTACCAAATATTAAAAGGGAGAAGAAAAATAAAGATCTGCTTGAGACTTTGAACTAAAGATGGATAGAATTTGGCTTTCAAGTAAGATATATTTTCTTTGAGTATCTTTTTCAGACTCCATTATTACAGATATCTTCTATTGCTAACTATGAATTAGAATTGCATTAAAATACTAAGACCTATTTTCATTAAAATTTCCTAAGAATTTGTAATTGCCTTATGGCAATAAATTAATCAATACAGCTAAAATAGATTAATTTCTAGCTAGAAGATATTGATTGAAGATAGCTTAATGCTTTTAATTTACTTTGAACAATGCTATATTATGAATTACTTCAATTAAGCATTGCTTCGACATACAAAGATGCCTTAGTTATTTCTATTATTTCCAAACCTCTGGTTTTAAAACTTACAGTATGTGTACTTGATTCAATCCCAAAAATGTTTCTTCGCTTAGATTGCGAAGCAAGTTTGTTGAGAGATCTCTAAATAAAATTAAACAATTAGAGGGATCGTAGGCTCACCGGTTTATGATATGATAATTTTAATTCATGTTGGCAAACCAATCAATAGACTAACATTTCATACAGATTATTCAAGTCCTCAAAACTTCTATCTTCGATTGTCATCATACCGTTACTGAATAAATGTCTATATCATGGGTATTAATAGTTATGATTGAGGTTAATTTACCGTAAAGGAGGTACGCTTATCTAAGTAATCTGTTTCAAAGATATTGATAGAACTGAAAAGGTTACTACATTTACAAATAAACTGAAATTTAGAATTTAAACAACTTACAGTTGCAGTAGTTTATTTAATCCCTTAAATTGGCTTTGCTTGATATTTTTAAGGTTATTATTTTGTAGTTTTCTATAATTTTAAATCACAGGGAAACTTTTATTTGTTATAAAAGTTCTATTACTTCCAATACAATTACTTATAGTAGAATTAAAAATATTCTGCTAATTTTGTCGGCTATAAACCGGTCCGCGAATTAAAATTTTATAATGTAGCATACAATATTCCAAGCTCCGTCAAGTTTTGAAATGAGCCAGGCTCGATGTCGGTCAGTTCGTTTCTATTTATATATCTGAATACCCCAAAATTTAAGTTTTCAGAAAGATTATTTAAATAAAAGCCAGATAGGTTTCATTAACTTAAATTTAGTTCCTAATATCCGTTATTACTTACAAGGATTTTAAAGATTGCAAACCACTAAGGCTATGTAATCCGATACTGATAATCTTATTACCGGTTAGCTTTCTATATATAAGATCAATTTACTTATCAATTATGACAATTTACCAACGCTGTTACTTATATGAATAAGCTAATGATACCTATTAGTACTTACAGTGTCTCTAATCTTGTTAGTTTAACGAATGCTTTCTTAGGTAAGGCATTTATTAGATTTGATGTTAAATCACTATTGATATTAAATTTCATTCGTTGCGAAATAGGCGCAATCAAAATAAATTGATTATTCAATTCACGATTACTGAAAAGTTTTAGATATATAACGATTATCCACTAACAGGGATTCTAAGTTTGTTAATTCATCAAATGCATCTTCATGTATAAACCATAAATGATTTGCAGACATTTCCCTAAATTTATTCATTTGTGACAAATAACAGCAGATAGTAAGTTTTACATGACTTATAATAATTTAATGAACACCTGAAAATTTATCGATAATTTGTTACATACAAAGTTTTTAGGTTATCCAAACCCAGAAACAAGCTTGCGTTTAATACTTCTAGATTATTGTAATTCAAATTCCTATTCGTGCAGCAAAAGTAAAATTTTCATCGCATTAAGTGAATTTTAAAGTGAATTACAAATAATTTACATCAAATTGGTTAAACTTAAGGGATTCATCATGCTACAGGTATTGCAGTAGGTCTTAGTTACTAATTGGCAATCGTATTTAATAATTGCTTCTAGTTAATGGCTTCTAATTTTTCGATGATTATTTTAAAAATACTAGGAGTTTTAATAACTTTAATGATAATGATGAACATTAAGTACTTATTTCTATTGTTTCATTTTACCAGACAAACTGTTACCACTATGCCTCATGATCAATAGTAGGTTTATCAATTACAGAAATCTCGACATGAATATGTAGACAATTTTTTTATTGCATACAAAAACTTATTTAATCATAACAAAATTGAAATAGCTTTTAAATTTCTAAACAACAAGTCAATATCACGAATAATTAGGAATATACTGTACACTGGTACGAATAGGATGAAAAAGTTATGTAAATGATATTTACTATTAAAGTAACTCCATTAACTAAATACTTACAGTGATTTAGCTTTGTAATTTGATTGAAACAAGTTCCTTTCAATAGTATCTATCTCGTTTGATGGCAATTGGCTGATAGGTATGAAGAATGGTTAGTATTAATTTGAATATTATGAGTCGACAGACAGTGCTACAAATATGCTAGTGAAAAATTAAAATCTTTAGATTAGAAATTATGATAAAGCAGATGACACTACTGCTGGAGAAAGTGCAATAAAGTGATGAAGCTACAAGATATCCTAAATTAAGCGATAAACTTACATAGTAGTCAATTGTTTTAAGTTGGCAAAGGTTCCACTATAAAGTTTTACTATATTGTTATTTTCTAACATTCTATAACGAAATGATGATAATAGGCATATAATTACAATACTGCAGAACATGAATAAAACTGCCAGAATTAGTTACATTTTGCCGATTGATTGTAGTTTTTGAAAGGCTTGAGGATGGATATCAGTTATCTTATTATTATTTAGATCTCTAATAGCAAAAATGAGATAAAAATATGACCAACGAATTATTATTGCCTTATAAGATACTTATCTATGTAAGTGTAGAAATTTCAATGTTACAGAAACGTGAAACCTACAATTTGTTTATTTTAGCAATATATCCTAGCGAGTATTGTGAAATTTGCGTCATAGAGTTGGTATCCATAGAGCTATATTTTAAAGTAAGCAACAATCTTGTTAATTTTGATAGAATAGCAGTAATGTTGTATAAATATAAGCTTTAATTTTCATGTTTTAGATGCTATTATTATTAAGTAAGTGGCTTTATTAAGCTAGCTTATTGTTGGTCACAGTGTAATGAGTTTACACTGTTAGGCTTCTACTGCTATTGATCCGATCGAAAGTTTCCGGTTGGATCGTTTCGATGTGATTTGTATCTAGCCTTCTATTGAATTAAGAAATATGCATGTCAACGTTAATAAGGCATTGGACGTATTATTGCATTAAATACGAAAGATTTGCACATTTGGCTAGAATCATAATTTTGTTTCATTTACTAAACAATGGCAATGACGTCAGGTATAATGCTTTATTCTTACATCGTTATGAGGTTGCTCAAATTTTGAAATGTTCCAGATTTTAATTCTATTATGGAATTGAACCCTAAATTGCTAATTGAAAAAATTATCGTCGTATTATATAAACGGAAAAAAGAAAACAAAAAGGCAGAGCTTCCATATTTCGGCTAACATCGTTTGTATATATTGCAGATCGGTGAAGGCTTGAAAATGAATTCCACTTATTGAATTCCTGTATAAATTCCTAATGTATTGATATATTGAACGGTTCTTTCATTAAGTATTAAATAGTAAAATACGTATTTAAACAAGTTATAGTAACACTGTTTTTGTATTCTGACGTTTGAGGTAAAGTTAATGCTATAGTATTTCAAACTGTGGATGTATAGTTATAGTATATTATCTCATAGCAAAATGCTCGATAGAATTATACACTTATCATAGAAATGCAATTATAGTTAAATGTACATAAATTTGAATATTAATTGCTTACAAGACTTTCAAATTCGGTGTATTTCTAAATGCTCCAGCCGGAATAATTTCAATGTTGTTATTGGATAAGTCTCTATAATAAGTAAGAATGTTTAATATTAGGTTAGTACTAAGGTTAAGTCACTGCTATTATCTGTCAAAATTTTGTATTTATAAACTGATTTGTAGACAGACAGTTTGGGCATAAATCTTCAGAACATAATAAATCATAATTTTAAATTCCGATACATGCGTAAGTAAAACTGAATGTAGTATATTTTATATGATGCACAATAGTATCGATAATTTTAAAACCTATAATAAATATGATAGTGTCAAAGTGTGTACTTCCAAACTTGGCATTTTTTAATCACTAGATATTTCGTGCAAAATCTTTATCTTATCTTTAATTGAATTATTTATGAAATCTGTTACTTTGGTGTAATGTAACTAGTATTGTGATTGTAGACTGCTAGCCATGTTTAGTATAATGTACGGTAGATATTATCCTAAGATATATTTGGTAGCTATAACTATAGACTATAGTGGTATAGACTCTATGCTAGAGTACAGATGACTATATACAGCAAGGTGTTGAGTTACTAATAAGGCTATAGGTAAAAATAGAACTGTAAATCATATATTAGGATATGGTTAATTCATTGTACTTTGGCTGATGTGAATAATGTCTACATAAGTACTGTAGTCGTATCCATATTGGATTAATGATGGTCCGCAGTAGAATAGTCTGACTAAGAATAATTTAACTATGTGTGATATAAGGTAAAAGGTTGCCATGCGGATTGTAGCTGCGAATGCTACGAAAAGTATAAAAGCATGCAACTTTAGATTATTCAGTTAGTTCGTTCTAGAAGTCTTTAGTAGTAGTATTCGGCTAGAGTAGAGCTGTGTAGTTAATCTTTGTATAAGATTCAATAAAGCCCTTGTTTTTCAAAAATTTGGAATCTAGTGATTGGTATATATCACATTTGGGCATAAAGTTTCAGAATGTAGCGAATTATAAGTATGAATTCCGATATATGGGTGAGTAAAACCACATGCAGTATATTGTATATGATATAATAACATCCAAAATTTTCTTAAGCCTATAGTCAGCATGATAGAATAAATTCAGATAGTTGAATAGAAATAAACCAAAAACCAACTTAAAATTTTAGCCCTTTAAAAATTGAACTTTGCTTGATTTGCACATCTTATGAAGTAGCTTTAAATAGCAGCAGTAAGATGAGGTTGTTGTCATGAACTAGCTCAGAGTACCTGCAACTATCAGTAAGTGTTTCTCAAAAGTTGTGTTTTTATCTGGAGACTAGATGAAGTACTGCATAATAAAGTAGTTTTAATTCTAATACCTACAGGATAGTGTTCCTTTCAAGGACGAGAGTCTACAATCGATAAAGCTAAATAGTAGACTAATTGAGAATTTACTGTAACTAGTCTTACTTTATAGATGAAATTATAGCTAGGTATTATTTGAAAATGTGATTATCAGATTAATGTATTACTCAATGAAAAATGAATAATTCTGAACTCACAGAGTGGTAAGATTTCTTAGTTCTGCTGGCAATACTTTAGCTATGCTGTAGACGTAGTTGTTACCTAAATCCCTAGAAGTTAGAAACGATCATTAATGTACAACATCCAATTATTTATGCGAAAATGCTTAAGAAAAAATCGAAATTTAACTCAAATATTGGCAAAAGGAGCAGATAGTTTTTTATATCAGACTGCTATAAAATGGATTCTGGTATATATTGAACAGGTAGTATCATTGAGATAGTTTAATACACTAAATATAATGCAAAATCAGTTCATGTCATCGGCGGCTTACAGTTCTGTCAACCAGTCCTCGCTCGAATTGGTTACGTGTATGGTAAATGTCGGGATATTATTACTACCTATTTCTCTGTATGCCAATGAAACCGAAAAGTTATAGTAAATAAGGCACAAGCTGTATCTCTGGAGATATAACTTGGTACATGGGATAATAGATAGCTAACTACTTATATAGGATAAACTTACAATTTTCCAACGTAATTTTTATATTCCAGTAGCTTTGTATAGTCAAAATCATACAGATCGTTGTTATTTAGCTTGCTAATATAAAAAATGAGAGGAAAACAATTAGTACCAAATTTACTATTAAAACTGTTTTGGTGTAACTATTTTAATCGCTACTAATGTAGGACTATACATGAATTAGACTTTATCTCTTTATTGCAGTTACATTGTAGTCGGTGTTGCTGAAGTACCAACATGGTAAAGCCATCCATCA